CAGTAGACATGAAGCTTGACATGCTATAATAAGCATGCTTTTAAGAAAACATTAAACGTGAGGATAAAACCTTCTGCTGTGTCCAAGGCAAAGGCAGACTTAGACAAGCATGTCTTCTAGTTGAGCGATGGATCCAAATGGCCATGATCACATTAAAGATCTAGCGAGAAGACAACCCTTCCAAATCTCCAGGCTCAACTTGTGTGGTTTTTCGCTGCTCTGTGGTCTTTAAATTCAGCATTGTTATGCATCCAAACACTGACACATGATGTGATGCTGGCTTCTTGCAATGCAAAAAAGCACCAAGCCAATATGAAGCTCATAGTTTCCTGTGACGGCCCTTTAATTCCAAATCTATTTGAGGGCCGTGCTGCGCTGCAAAAATGTCAATAGTAATGAGCACATCTCCAGTCAATGAATATGAATGAAGCACAGGAAAACAGCCCACTTTTCATTTCTAATGTGTCAGGCATTTTGCCACCCCAAACAGGAGATACCCACTTAAATGGCAACTCTCACCCCACTTCAACGGCAATTCAATTTGTTCCATAAGCCAGGGATGAAAAAGCAATTATTCACAGCATCCGTCACTTCACGATCTGTTTCTTAAAGATATCAGCCTTTTCTCGGTAAATGAACAAATAAGCCGGCAGATTAGTGCCACACGTGCACCCCATCGCTTCGCACAGCCCAGCGGCCGGCAAGCCGTGTAAGGAGTCCTCAGGGAGAGGGTTTTCAGTGATGATGGTGTGATAGATGATGTGGCAGTGGGGTGTGTCGCGTGTCGTCATGCGATAGAGCTGACTGCGTCGTCTCTTCTTCAGATGCTGCTATCATCAGTCTGAGCACTACAGTTGGTACTTTGGTGCTGGTGAGAAGAAAACTCAGCACGCCTGCCATTTGCTGTTTTGAAAGTGTAAGTCTCACACATTTCACTTGCTAGTTAGCAAACAGGATGTGCAGCATATGAAGTCAAATTATGGCCGTGTTTCGAATGCCATACTACTTTACTACGTCTACTAGAAATAGCATACTACATTTGCAAAACTGCATACTATATAACACAAGCACACTTAAAGGAGTACTGTATCCCAAAATGCAATGTGACTCCATCTTCCATTTTAAGTGTGATAAATGACATATTAACTATGATTTTTTTAAATAATTTATATTCATTATTTGATCGGACTGGAAAAATTAAACAGAGTAAATTAGAGTAAAATAAATAGGATAATATTTAGTTTTGAATTATTGCATTATTTCTCATCGGAAAATTAAATACAACTTAGGGCTGCACGATTAATCGAACACAATTAATCACGATTGTCATGCACATTTTGTCAGTAAAGCCAGTTCTGTGATTAGTAGTAAATCTCCATCACCTGCTTTCAGGTGGAGCAGCATTTACTACACAGAGCCGTAGTTCTCTGACAAGCTACGCAAAATCGCGTTCATAATCGCAAACGATATAATCGTAGGATTATGAAATCGACTAAATTTTTCACGATAATGACAGCTGTTTGCGTATCTTCTCAGTGAACTAGGGCTCTGTGTAGTAAATGCTGCTCCATCTGAC